AATGTACCGTTATGCGAGGGATTCAAGTTCCAGCCGTTCGATTGATTCATGGGTGTGACTGCTGCCTCAATACTCAGTCGCCTCTTCCAAATTAGTCCTCCTCTCGCACGCTTGTTGAGGCTCGAAAGGTTGAGTCTCATTTGGTTATGTTTCGCCCCACGTCGCCTATTTTTCTGTTGAATCRAGCCATTGAAGCCTATGGTAAATGTGGGTGTTTGGAGGATGCAGGGGAGTTGTTCGAGGAAATGCCTCATAGAGATGGGGGATCGTCGAATGCGATGATAACAGCATATACCCAGAATGGGTATGCTTTGGGAGCATTGAATTTGTTTTCGGATATGAATGAATCTGGTGTTCGTGCTACTGAGATATTTTTAGCCAGTATTCTTGGGTCTTGCGGAGCTGCATTRGCTCTTCACTTTTCGAGGCAAATTCACGGGCATATTGTGAAATCTTGCTTCCTTGGCATTGTAATTCTTGAGAATTCTCTTGTTGATGTCTATGGAAAGTGCAGGCTTATAAATGMTGCACGCAGCATATTTGATGAAATTTAGAAGTGCGATGAATGTGAATGTTAGGTGTTATCTTGAGGTGGGCAATGGAAGAGAGGCAGTGTCGTGTCGATGTTTTACCAAATGTTCCGAGAAGAAGTGATTCCATTGAGTTTTACCTTTTCTTGCTTGTTCAAGTATGGCAGCACTTGTACAAGGTATGCAAATTCATGGTGGTGTAGTTAAAGTAGGTTTTGAAGAGGATGATGTTATTTCAAGCTCTTTAATTGACATGCATATGAAGTGTGGAACATTAGAAAATGCTCACCAAGTATTTAACCAGCCCAATTCAAGTAATCTGATTTCCTGGACTTCACTGTTACATGGATACATGCTAGGAAAGTCCAAAAGCTAGGGAGCTTTTCAATGAAATGCCTGAACGCAATGTGATTTCATGGAATGCTATGTTGGCAGGATATGTTGATTCCTCTCAATGGGAAGAGGCGTTAGACTTTGTCCATTTGATGTGCAGTTCGATTAAGGAAATTGATCACGTAACTCTTCGCCTGATACTGAATGTGTGTACCGACCGTCTAGATGTTGCAATAGGGAAGCAGGTTCATGGTTTTGTTTATAAAATTGGTTTCTATGCTGATCTCTATATTGGTAGTGCTCTTCTTGCATGTATGGTAAATGTGGGAGCTTGAAAAGTACCAGGGTTTGGTTTTACCGAATGAGTCAATGGCGAGATGAAGTTTCCTGGAATGCTCTGGTGTCACTAGCTATGCTCGTCGTGGCATGAGTGAACAGGCCATGACGGTTTTATCAGAGATGCAATGGGAAACAACTCCTAGTAAATTCACTTTTGCAACTATTTTATGAGCCTGTGCAAACACTTGTGCAATAGAGCAAGGCAAGCAAATCCATGGCCTCATGATTAGGAGTAAATTGTGAGAGAGACATTGTAATTACCGGAGCTTTAGTTGACATGTACTGCAGATGCCTTTATCTTGAGTACGCTCTCAAGGTTTTTGAAAATGCATCTTCCCGTGATGTGATTCTGTGGAACTCTATAATTTTAGGATGTTGCCACAACAAAAGGGACGATAGTAATCGAGTTATTTCGATTGATGACAATGGAGGAAGGCGTGAAACCAGGCCATGTGACCTTTCAAGGTATTTTGCTTCCTTGTGTATATGAAAATCTTGTTGAGTTGGGTAGGTAGTATTTTGATTCAATGAGTGACATACCTCGACTGGAGCACTACGAGTGCATGAATGCGACATTGAATCATGGACAAGCTAAAAAATTTAGAAAATACTTGGCTCCTCAACAGTAAAGAACAATCATTGTCTTAAACTATATGGGTTGTTTGGTCTCGTTCGACGTTCATGGGGTATTGAAAGTTTTTCATGAAATTAAAGAGAATGACATTATATCCTGGAACATATGTTTGAAGGGTTTGTTTCGATTTGAGTGATGTTGAAGGTCCACGCCATCTGTTTGATGTAATGACGGAGAGAGACATTCTTCCGTGGAACTTCCATGATTTCTAACTGCCTCGTCTAGGTTTGTTGATATTTTTTCTCGAAATGCAAAACGCTGGTTTTAGATCGAGTGAATATATGGGTGTGTTTGGGAGTAGAATTAGTGATTTTGAAAAATTAAATCTCTTTTTTCAAAATCATCGTTCGAGTGATACCTTAAAAATCAATTTAAAGTGATTTTGTCAAAATCACTTTTACTATTATCAAAATCACTTTCCTTCCTATTATCATATTTAGAAAATTAAAAAATTGATTCTACGAAAGTTTAAAATCAACTTAAAATCATTTTTAAATGATTTTTTAGGTATCACTTGTATGATGATTTTGGAAAATCAATTATGTTTAAATTTCTTTTTTCAATATCATTAATTCTATCCTAACTTCCAAACATATCCTACGATTTTCATTTTGCTGTCACTTGTGTCATGTACTCGTCATGATAAGCAAATTCATGGCAGTATGATTTGAAGTGATGTATAGAAAAGTTGGCATTGTCGATTTATATGTTTGTCATATTTTTTACAATGGAAAGGTGGATGTTATTTCTTGTAACTCTTTGGTTTTGGGCTGCCACAAACCAGGCTTTAGAGTATTGGCACTAAATCAGTTCTTTCAAGTGAGAACGACTGAGCAGCCAACGTCAATTCCGACCCTTCTTTTTTCAAACTAAGAGTGTGTTTGAGAGTGATGGTAAAATAAATGATTTAAAAAAAAGAAATTTAAGTATAATAAAAATCAATATCCAAATAATACTTTAAAAATCAATTTAGAATGATTTTAAGTTTTCTTAAAATTAATTTTTTTAATTTGTCAAACATGATCAATTGAAATGGGAGTAATTTTGACTATAGTCAGACTCTCAAACGTACCCTAAGTCTATTTTGATCTTTTTGTTTTCAATTTTAGTTTATTTTAGCCACTGATGTTGGTATTCTCCCGTTTATAAAAAAAAATTGCTAATTTTCTAAAATTACTTTTCATTATTTTGTATTTTATAAACGGTTCAAAAATTATATTTTATAAACTGTTCAAAAATTATCTTTTATTATTTTATTTTTATTTTTGTCAGTCTATTGGTTTTAAAGTATTTTATAAAACAAATCAGGATTGCAGTACAATTCTTAAATAAAAAAAGAAAACTGAAAAAGAGCACATGAAAACAAAATGTTATTTTTGTTCTAAACCAATTTTAGAAATTATTTTGTTAATAAGTTTTCTAGATTTAGAAAGTTGTTTTTGCTTTTAAAAAATAGAAAACTATTTCTAAAACTATCTTTAGTTTTTTATTGCTAGAACGTCATCTCTTTACACATGAAAAAAAATAGTCTCAAACTAACTATTTTGGAGTAATGGTAAAATGAATAATTTTGAAAGGAAAAAAATTAAGTATAATTTATTTTTTAAAATCAATTTAAGATAATTTTTCAAAATCATCAAGTGATACCTTTACAAATGATTTTAAACTTCCTAAAACCAATTTTTTTATTTGTCAAACATGATAAGTGGAAACCGGAATGATTTTGACAGAAGTGATTTGTTGTGCCAAAATCACTCTCAAACACACCTAAAATTCTATCGCATATCTATAGTATCTTGTTAAATTAGTTCAAAATTTAAAGATGAAATTATTATCTTAATTAGATCAATCGATATTGAAATATCCTAATATAAATCTAAAAGATGAAGAGAAATTTGAAAGTTTCTAATAATTATGAAAGAAATTAATGAATTAAAAGGGTGACCCAACTAATTAGTAACCACTATCCAACTAATACTCAACTCATAACCACCCAACCCAACTAATAATCATCCAACATCATGTTTAAGATATATGTTAGAAACACAAAATCAATTGGTTTGTGGTTTATGATTTGTAAATATTACATAAAATATGAGTTTAATAAGTATGAGTTAGTTTATGGTAGCTTATGGGATTAACCGAGATAAATTGGTTTGTCGGTAGAAATATCGAGATCTTCAATTTCATGAAAATATCAATAGAAATAGCAATAAAATGACGTCGATGTATATTTTTTATAAGGTTATAAAAAATAAAAGAGGTAAAAAATATTTAAATTCACGAATAAGCATTTTGACATTTATAAATGAATTTAAAAGGATTAATATTAATATTATATATATTAGTGATATTATCGTTTTTCCCTTTTTTTTTTGTGATTAACCAAGATTTTAAATTTGGATGAAAACTTAAAAATAATAATAATAATAATAATAATAATAATAATTCAAATCTTCCTACTCACCTAATTTAAAAGTTAAAAAAAAAAAATTGCTACATGACACGTACGGTGCAATACAATACAACAAAGAACTAAGAAGGCGGTTAACAAACGTCCAAGGGGGCCACGTCTGTAATTATACGTTGTTCACTGTAAACAGTGTGCCGTTACGGTGACACCGCTAACTCAGCATTTGTCAGTTTCCACGTAACGGACAGCCGTTACTCCCGCCGTTACTTCCCCCCCGGCCCTCATCCAAATCACTCTTCCCACCTACTGCCCCCCTCCCCTCCACCTCATTTTTCCCTTCTTTTCTTTTTTTTTTCATTTTAGTCCACTAATTTCCATATTTATTTCATTTTAGTCCCTAAACTTTTTAATCCTATTCTATTTTTCAACTTTTTCAAATTTAAAATTTCATAATGTCTAATTTTTTAAAACATAACTATTTTTAGAGAGTAATTTTTCTTTTTAACCTAACAGATTTTTGACTAACCAAGTAGTTATTACGATTCCTTTATGGACTCCGATGCATATCTTTGATATATTTTTTTGTTTTTAAGTTTAAGAAGTACAAAGATAATTTAGCTGGTGGAGGAAGTAATTACCATTTGGTAAAGTAGTGGACGTGGTTTCGATGTTTCATTTCGCGAAAAATGTGGTGGATGACTATCTCATAGAAAGTGGAGTAATATTACTTCTAACTAGTTTGGAACTCTAGTTAAAAGTGATATTTTATTGGTTTAAGTGGTATCTTTTTCTATAAAAGAAAAGAATGCGAGTTTGACCAATTGAGTTATGCCGTGACTCTAAATTACATATACTAACCTGATAAAATAGAATTTGAATTCTCATCCCTTGAAATAACATTATTGTACTAAAAGAAATATATAATTATTTTTTTTAACAAAAATTAAAGATTAAAGTAGATTTTAAAAGTTTAAAACTAAAATGGATAATTAGAAAGTTGTCGGAGCGAAGTGGAAAATTTTAAAACGTATAGGGGCATAAATGAAAATGAATAGAGAAATAAAAACGAAAGCAACAAACAAACAAACGCGCTTTGTTGTTACAAGTCCAAGTAGTGACAAAGTCGTTATTTCAAGTAGCGGTTTTACGGTTCATGCCCAACAACCCTCTTTCGAACGGTTAGAGAAACCCCCAAAAATTTATTTCTCTCTCTCTTTCCTTTTTAATAAACCAAAAAACCTTCAATTCAAACCCCAACTCTCAGATGATTCTTCGATTCCCCAAATTTTTCTATTTATTTTCTTTCAATCGATAGCCATGGTGATGATCGGAATCGCCCTCCCCGATCGGAACACGAGCAATAATCACAATCGAGTTAAAGGATCGTGGAGCCCTCAGGAGGACGCTACGTTGGTCAAATTGGTGGAGGAGCACGGACCTAGAAATTGGTCTTTGATTAGCACTGGAATTCCCGGCCGATCTG